CTGTCTGTAATCACAATACCTTAATGGCAGTATAGCGGTAGTTATCGTACAGTAGAACTGTTTCCACTTTGATGTGAGTACATAACATATGTTAATAAGACTAGAGCACATTATTCCCAGTGTAATGTGTTTAGCCTTGAATGCACCACCTGAAGTCATGCTTTATGGAGGTGGCCATCTGGGAAATCACCTCCCTGTCCAGCTGGAAAAAACCTGGGAGGGAAACATGAATAGAAAACCCTCTACTCCCTCATTAACTACTGTCAAACCCCCCTGAGCCATGTACATCAACTCTGGTCCTTTTCAGGCAGTTGTTCACTACTTGGCAGCAGAAAAATGGTGGTACTTCAGGTTTGTTTCTTTCTAAACTGGGAATTGGGCCTTCCTTTTACTCTCACCTGTTGGGTAAATATTTTTAAAAAAAGAGTGTATGTGTGGCCAGAAAATCAAACTGTAACCCATGAGTGCTTTTGTGTGGAAAGCTGGCTGTTCTACAATCTCTGCCACATGAATTCATGAGGGGTTAGGGTGATTGATCGCAAGGTAAGTTGTAGGATATCAGGGGAGCTAGAAAATCACACACACACACACACACACACACACAGTCATATGTTTGGTCAGTAGTGTGTTGCTGCAGTTTATCAATTTACTAAGCCAATTTTAACACATCGGTGGTTATTTATTAGACTTCAGCAACTCAGGATTTATATGCCTACCACCCTCACATATTCTCAAACGTGTCCACAGTGGACCTCTGAGACTCGTCTCTGTCCCCAGGGGCCCCGGACTCAGAGGAGCAGAGAGCATTGTGACCAACTCATTGGCCTCAAGCTGTCCAAACACACACACACTCACACATACAGAAACACATTCTGCAGGACTTGCAGTTGTAGAGAGCGCTATGTTGCCATGGTGACAGGGAGGGATGTCACAGCACTAAACCCGAAAAAGGGGGCAGCCGGAACGTTGTTTATTTTCAAAGACGTCAATGGGCACCACTGGCTCCCGTCAATGTAAGAAAATGCAAAGTGTCGCATATTCTCACGTTTTGCAGTCGGCTCACATTGGGCTCTGTCTGCCACGGCGCTGCTGGATCCTGCTGAAAGCTTTTCAGCAATCAGTCCCTCCACTCCCTCCACATCATTCCAGCAGAGGCCCTGGAGATGTGCTGCCCTGCTGAGGCCAAACAAGGGTGTCCAGTCCCAATTTAGCCCCACAAAGTACACAAACAGACAATGTTTTCAGACTGCAACGACAACAACAAGCATCCCATTGAAGAACTGAGGCGGGAACACAGCATGGGGTCAGCCGTGGGCGGAAAGAGAAACACTCGGCTATGCACATGCAGAGACATAAAACTACCTAAGCGCACGCTGCACAAGCATACGCACACAGCGGGCATGCCCTGTAGGCATCACTGGCATTTGGAGGGCTTTGGCACAATGACAGCACAGTGAAGACCAGGCTAGGTGCCGCACTGAGCCTCTCAGTGGTCAGTCTCACTCACAAAGGCACAGTCTTTACTTGGTAAAAGGGAGAAGGATGAAGAATGCAGCAAAAAAAGTATGTCTGTTTGTGTTTCCGTGATGCTGGGGAGAGAGATAATGGCAGCTGATGGCCAGTATTTGTGCTGCCAAACCCAATAGGCAGAAAACTGTAATTGCATGTCTAATCTGGGCTGTGGAGAAGCCAGGTGTAATGATGGCAACTCAGTGAATACACCTCTCCTCCACCCTCTAATGGATGCTTGCTGAACCCCCCTTTTCCTGACTGTCATTTAGCTGCTTCCCTGTTTGGACCCAGGGATACATTCGGAAAAGTGGAGAAAATATGCTGTGGAAAGAAATATGTCAGCTCTTGACACCTGGCTGCCTCAGTCCAGACATTGCGCAAATACCAATCAGCGAGTGTGAGAGTGAAATGAGTGTCTGCTGTCATTGTCTCTGCGGAAGATCATTTTTGCTGCTCGGTTGGTGCCAAACATCATTGCCAAGAGTTATCTGTGAATGACCAGTGTTCATTATCCCAGGCTAATGACACCAACATGTTTATGTATGTTTGTGTAAAGCCAAACAGCATTACATGTTGGTTGCAATGGCTGAAAAGGCCTATTCATCTGCAAAAGTATTTCCCGTGTACAGTAGAATTGGTTTAACGCTGCTATGAACAATATCTAAACATTAACAGTGGATAAAATCGCTACATGTGAATGAAAGAGTCCATCATGAAGACTTTATCCCCAGTTATTATCACCCGAATACAGTTCCTTTCAGCTTTAGTAGAAGCAAACGAGCTTATTCAGAATTATTATTGGAGTTGGTGAAGACGGGAAAGGGAAATTCATTTTGAATTTATATTCTTTATTTAGCCAGAAACACGCCTCCAAATGAATGCGAACTGGTCCGTATCTTCATTAAAACATCTCTGTATGTTAACACATTTGCTATTTTAACTTATAGGGTGTTGTTGTTGTGCTTACAGATAATTTCCATTGCCCTAAGGAAAGTACAAATAATTCAATAAGAGACGATTATGTGAATTGTTGCCTTATTCAGAGACTTTTCCAAATGTCTAAATAAATTATTATTCTGAGTTTCTATATTTTGTTCTTGAGTCAGGATGGTTTAAGCACAACCTTAGAAGCCGGGCTGCATGTTTTTTTGTCTAAATCTACAATTCACATCTAGTTCCGCATACGGCTGTTCCAGCATTTTGAGTAACTACTTTTTGAGAAACCTTGAGAACAAAAGAGATTACTGGCGGTTGCAAAGTTGAAGTAGCAGTTATATTGTTACCTCTCACCGAGACAGATGGGGTTAAAAGAACTATGGCTGGACTCTGTTTATTTTTCTGGAAATTGCTAGCGATTTCATCACTATAAAACTTAATTGTTGCTTGACTTCATTCCAGCTGCAGCATTGTTTGGGCAGAATGGCAGTGCTTCGAAAATCATCAGGGAAGCATGACACGGTTTCATCATTGCTGAGAAGATTTTTACTCCTCGAATTGTTCGCTGTAAACAATTTTTGGGAGCACTTATACAAAATAGACTTTGAGTCATCTGATGGTTTTGACTTGCACAAAGATACATGAACACAGACATATACACACACACACACACACACACACAGAGAGCGCACTCTATGAGCCAGTGTACTTTGCCAGGTTTGCTAATTAAACAAATGTACTTGGCTAGCTTTCTTGATGAGGAACCAGACTGCCTAGTCCAACCTGCTAGTTTTCCTTCTTTCCAAAGTGAGAATACATCGATATATACACACACATTCACCCACACACATTCACTGAAACCTGCAAATGTGTCCAGCAATTTGCCACTACGCACTTATTTTATTATTCATTGTTCCTTTCAGCCAAGGCTCTTAGTGTCCGTTAAACAAAGGCAAACTATTTATTGGGTCATATTTTCTTACACGGACAGCAATAACGCTCTATCACCTTTGGGAGTGCTCTGTTGTAAACTCTGAAATATATGATGCTGTGATGAGATTGAGTAGCTGCACGAGGAGGCGGGCGGAGAAGTAAAAAGCTGCAGAGAGCGATGGTAATGATGGTGATGGTGATAAGGGTTGTAATCACGATGGCAAAATCCATCCTGGAAATAGTACTGGGATGAGAAAGCAATGTGATGATGAACATTATGATGGAAATGTGACAAGGATGATGATAATACTGTACTGCTGATGAGAATGGCAATGTTGACGATGATGTTGATGGCATCTTGGAAGGGCAATGCCTTGCTTAGGCAGATGTAGAGTACATAAAGTGTGTTTGTAGTTGGATTATTAGGTGGATACTTTAAGCTTCACGTCAGCGATGTATAGCCTCTTTCTACTGCAAGAACTTTTCCAAGGGACTAGGAACTATTGCAGAAACCTTACTTTGAAATCAATCGGAAGAATCTGGTGACAAAACACTGCCGGCTGTGAGTCTGGCCCAGGAACTGCAGGGTGGGAGTTCACAGTACTGAACCTCACGGATTGGTCAAACATAAGACTTCTGCAAACCTTCATTCCTACCGTAAGCAAGTACAAGGTGCCACTAGGATCAATACTAAGCCAAGGGGTCATTTATCGATGTGAAAGACAAACTTATATTGCCATGTTTACCAACTAATCCAAAAAAAGCAAGAGAGAGCTGAGAGCACAGATGAAACAAGTAAAGATGGGAAGAAAATCAAAGGAGTTAAAACGGGTGGCAGTTATCTTAGCTTCTCATACTGGACTGTAAGCAGGGAGAGACTGTCTCTGTTGAAAAGTTAAGCATATAAACAACGGTTTTGATCTATAATCTTGGCCACAGTCGGAGACTACCTGGAGTTTTTGGTCACCATGAGGTTGCCAGAAAACCGTGGGGGCGACTGCAGAAAATGTGTGTGACTGGCCAAAATTACTGATTAAACCAAGGACATATACAAAAACATTTTGTAAGTCCTGTCAATTAATCCATCCCTCTTAAAGTCCCACATTTCAGCTATATGTTCTTCTTATTTTTATAGTTTCTATACAGTTCTTCAGCTAGAGTGGAAAATCAAACAAGGGCTCACAGTTCCTGAGTTCCTAATATCTATAAATGATTGGTCCAAAAAAGAGCATTTGTTGTTCATTTTCTTTGACCATCATGGTCACAAATGTGTACTTGCTTGTCCGCTCTTCATTGCATTGTTCATTGTTTGCCATTGCTTGATTTGCATTGAACTTCCTCACTGCTGCCCCCCATGATGGTTTTACTTCTGGTACATGGTCAGGTCGTTCAGTTCCAGCCATTAGCCATTACCGCTGCTAATATCTGCATGGTCCTTCCATATAAGCTGTGTATGTTGCTGATATTCATTGCCATTGCAACTTGTTGGATGCTCATTCGCTTCCCCCCCCTCCATGCCGTCCACACGACCCCTCCCCCAGTCGACGATTTCCTCTTACCCCGCCTGCTGACTTTCTAGAGCCCCATATCAGTCCCTCCTCTGTTTTTCTCTTTCTTAGTTCCCCCCAACCTGACAGTCCCTCGGGGCAAGTCCCCCCTGGTGACCCGCGAGGGTGACACAGTGGAGCTGGAGTGCCTTGTTTCAGGAAAGCCCAAACCCATCATCTTGTGGTCGAGAGCCGACAAGGAGGTGCCAATGCCGGACGGCAGCATGCAGATGGAGAGCTATGACGGCGTGCTGCGGATTGTCAATGTTTCCAGGGAGATGACGGGCTCGTACCGCTGTCAGACCAGCCAGTATAACGGGTTCAACGTGAAGCCCCGGGAGGCCGAGGTGGAGCTGATTGTACAATGTGAGTAAATGAAACTGTATGTGTATGTGATTATCTAGGTGCGTTGAATGTTTCTCTGATGTATTTTCTGTGTTCGCAGTGTAATTAATCCTTATATTCAGGTGCAGTGTGACCAAAACTGAACATGCCTACATTTCTCTCCTTCCACGCCCATCCACAATTTCCTTCTGAAGGCTGTACAATTAGTCCATTCCCTTGTGTCCTCAGCCAGGTCTGAGAGGAAACAGACTTTATCTGCTGACTGTGAACTGTGGCGAACTATTATTAACTGAGGTCAAAAGCCCTAGTTACAGATGTCCACACTTATTAGTGTGTGTGTGTGTGTGTGTGTGTGTGTGTGTGTGTGTGTGTGTGTGTGTGTGTGTGTGTGTGTGTGTGTGTGTGTGTGTGTGTGTGTGTGTGTGTGTGTGTGTGTGTGTGTTGTGTGTGTGTTGTGTGTGTGTGTGTGTGTGTGTGTGTGTGTGTGTGTGTGTGTGGTGTGTGTGTGTGTGTGTGTGTGGTGTGTGTGGTGTGTGTGTGTGTGTGTGTGTGTGTGTGTGTGTGTGTGTGTGTGTGTGTGTGTGTGTGTGTGTGTGTGTGGTGTGTGTGAAGTTGGTGAAGACCCAAAGAGTGTGTGCCTTAGACCCCCCACTACTGTCGCTCATTCTGAAACCTCTTCCTTTTCTTAAAATGTCACATTCAAAGATGGCTTAACGGCTAATTAGCAAGTGGCTAATTTATTCCCACTACTATTCATTCTCTATTCATTTATGGGGATTTGAATTGGAATATTTCGAATGAACATCAGGGATTCAAAGCGTTTTCACTCATTCAAGAGCTTGGGATGTTTTTCTCTGCCGGAAAAAAAGACCAGAAGGATAGGAAGGAAATTAAAGCGATCTATGTAGGGTGCTACCAATCTCTGGCAAGTGATTATAGGAAACAGAAAAAGTCTCATAGCCACAGTTTCATTGTTTTGCTCATGGCCTACTTAGTTAATCCGTACATTCTTCCTTCTGAACTAACCGTAATCTAGAAAGAACCTGTGCAACAGTGTGTCCGTTTTTAAACTACATGCGTAGAAATTAACAAGCTCTATGCTGACGACCATGTTTTAAATCTCCGCCCCCAGTGGACTTGCCAAACATCGGAATGCATAAAATATTTCAACAGATTTTGAAGTGTGAACAATACAACTGAATTATGGCCGCAGCTCAAACTAGGTTTTGATTCAAGATGAACTCGACACACCCACGACCAATATTTTGATTGAAGAAGAACAAGAGCGGCCCCCATGCTGTTCTTTCTGACGAGGATTAGCCCATGACTGCCTTAATTTTTTACAACACTTTTTATGTTACTCTATGATGTTCACGTTTCAGCTTAGTTGTAACCCACTGGGCTGTGTTAAGAGTATTAATGAGGGTTTTGATGTGCTTTGAAGAAGACTGTTACATTTTTGGCCGAATTGATTATGATTATGCAGCAGTGACAGCTCATATCAAAGGTTAGTGGTTTGCTACGCACGACTCCAAAAGTAAACAAAGGCTCTGGACTTTTTGGATGGCCTTCATTAATTAGAAACACTCGGTAGAGACACATTGTTGTGTAGATTAAAAAGAGATTAGTGGCAATGGCTTTTTTTAATATAAAAAATGCTGCTGTATGTTCACACTGAATCCTCGTTTCTTTAAACAGTAGTAAAAATAAAGGAACTAACACACATCCACATACTAACCCCTGCCTCAGTTGTATAAATGCAGTAAAAGAATGGATGATGCTGCCCTCCCCTCTGTCCCCTCTCAGCAGTGAGAGCAGTTAATGCCACAGGCAGCAATAGTTCACAGTGATTTTGCCTACCGTTTGGAACCGAGCAGGGGGCACGTACTGTATAATTTTTTTCTCAAGGCAGCACAATTAGAGCAGTGAAAAGCAAATAAGCACTAACTGTCTAGAAGCTTTTCAAAATACAGCGACAATTACTCAGCATGTATTAAAGCAAAGAAGTATTTCTTTTTATTCTCCCTGCATCCGCAGCTGCTTTACTTTCTAAAGCTCCCTTTGCAAATCACTGACAAAGAGGATACTTACAGCCCAAAATAAAAATAATTCTTCTAATTGAGTAAAGGAGAATTCTCCTTATCAAATCAAAACTTGATTATCTAGGACTATTAAGTGGAAAAAGCAATATGTAATAACTACGATGCTAGGCATGAGACATAAATATTGAATTTATTGTTTATCTTTTGTGAGACGTCATATTAAATCCAAAAATGAACCCCTAATTTCCTAAACCCTTATGGCTTTCCAGCACCATCTGCCGCCATTTTAGCCAGTGTGCCCATGTTTCACCCGGCATGTGACCAAAGACTCTCTCTTTGCTATCTTTGCTATCTTTGCTTATCTTAGGCATTGAATCTATTTTTGTTCCCACACTTTGCACCTGTGAAGTGTAACATTCAATACAAGCATGCTCTTATTTTTTAAACATGGCATACAAATAATATTTGATTATGCATTTAAATTGATATTGACCTTTTTAAATCAACTTTATTGATCTAATGTCGCTCACCCAATTTCTTTTATTTGTCTTATTTCCATTTTTGGCTCTCAATGCTCTTAGCTATCGATGCCAATAATAGATACAAGTCAATAGTGTCAGTCCTGATCGGTTCACACAGACCTTTTTTTGATACATGTTTTGAAGTTGGGAATACACATCTACATTTTTTTTAGGAGATATGTTGTGACATCACCACATCCACCTTAGATATTGTGATTAAGAGACTATCGTTGACTCAAAGTTACTTTGTGTGTTAACTAGTTAAAGGGGCCCTAATATGCTTATTTTCAGGTTTCATAATTGTATTTTTAGCCTCTCTGCCTCTTTTTATCCTCTGTCTGAAACCAGAGCCCAGTCTGCTCTCATATTTTAGCTGGCCGGCTCTGTTGTGATTAGTCAACGGCTTAGAAATGTCCTGCCCCTTAGCCTATCACATACACTGTGTTGGAGTGCTAACCAATAGGAGCGGGAGTGTTACGTAGTGATGTCACAATGGAGGCGTTTCAGGCAAGGTGGAGGGGAATACAGTATGTGGGAGAGAAATCCCCTCTGGAGGGAACTTTAGGAGTTGTGCCTTTGCAGACCATTTACATGCACAAAAACCTATAACACACTACAGGAAAGGGAAAACCCCCAAAAGCATAATAGGGCCCCTTTAAAATTAGCTCAGCTAGATAACTGTTTTGCACTGGCTGCTTATATGGTGACATTTTTCAACAGCTGTTTGTTACATGCAACTGTGCACCTTTTTTATAAGGGAACTATTTTAGGAAGAGGATCTTACTAAAAAACATTCTGACAAGTCACTGTGACTTTTATAAGAGTAAAATGATCAGCTGATCCCAGCGCTGTGTGGGAGGAGAACTGATCTAATTAGTTGACTCAAAGTTAGGTCAATCCTGCTGAAGACGAAAATGTCTCATATTCTTCCAACTCTGGCAGACCTTCATGCTGTACAATATATTATAAAACTGCTCAGGTAATGTAGGGGAAAGGTGCACACTGCAACACATTTCCACCTTAGGTGTAGAAAGGTATTTAAAAGGCAAAAAAAACTGACAAATGGTCAAGTGAAAAATCTGTCTAAATATCTGTTTTCCTCCAAAGTCTCCTCTGAAGGAGAAGACATCCAATGGCATTCTGCTAATATTCAATATTCATGAAATACAGAGAAGCTGTGCTGTATTCAATTAAACCAGTATATTCCCACACAAAGTATAGTTACATTGTTTATAAAGGAGCTGCGAATGTGCAATCAGTACTAGCGAAGAAATGTGAACAAAATCGATAAATATTGGAAATATGACGGAGCCTTGGTGCAACTGGGATGCAACTCATCCACGTCACGGACATCTGGGTATAGGAACACGAGGAGAGGAGGAGGTTAGTCAATACGTCCCTCCTCAGACATCATAAGCAACAAAAAGAAGAGAACACAGATGAGATGTTATAGAAATAAGAATAACAAGAACGAATAAAATAAATCAGACAGCACATTGAATCATAAACTGCCCCATTGTCTGGTATCACAGAGTGAATGAAAGAGCAGAGGAGGAAAAGGACCTTCAGACTATAAACTCAGGTGGCCCTCACCGGCTACTGAATGTACAATGAATGCAAAATAATTAAAAGATCCAAGTTTTATATTCATCACATACTTTCATGGCCTAGATCAATCCAAAGGGACATGGTGAATGCTTAGAAACAAACCTTTAGCTGTTTTTTCCAGAAGCAAAGGTGTTACTCCCACGAAAGTCCATGACCCTGTGTTAGAGTGGAGGTCAATCACAAGTCCTATAGCAAGATGTTCCATCTCTTCACCCAGCCAGTGAAGGTCACCTCCTCTCACACGCTGCTGCTGCTGCCCTCCCTGTCTCAGTGACAGTGGACAGAGATCACTTATGGCGCATTTCCACTGCAGGGCCTCGCACGGCTTAGTACGGTATAGTTAGGCCTTGGTAGGCCAGGCTCACTTTATACTGCGTTTCCATTACAGTTTAGGAACTGGGGTAGTAACTATAGTAACGCAGTGAGGGCAGAGCCGTGACGTCATCTTCAATGCGAACCACGAAACCAACGTGCTCATAGCTCGAGCTCACAGCTCCTCATATCTGTTCAGAAACTAGACAAAAGTTAAACAAGTACAAACCACAGACTGCCTGTGTCATGGCGAATACAGTCGCTGGTTTATTTATGTCTGTATAGGCCGTTGTTGTGAGTGTGGACGGTCGGAGCATATACTGCGTTAGCTTAGCCAAGCTCCATTTAGAAAACACGCATTTTAAAAAGTTTTTCGCCTGCCGTCTGTCTGCAGACTTGTCAAAGCATTAATTCATGGTTTTTACTAACCGGTATCAGTATGTTGTTACTTCGGCATCATTTTGAAACGTGTATTACAATTAAATCACGGTCAAATATGTTCATTTTGTTGTAGTTGCCAGCGATTCTCTCACTAGTT